AAGCAACAATGAGTAGCAAATGGTTTTCCTCTGTCGGGTTTGTCGAAGATTTGCTTTTCTAAAACTGACATCAGCCTCGTTGAGAGTGCCAATTAAAATGAGGCACAATTTCCTCATCCATCTTTCAATTCAATTTAAGTGTTAGTTTTCTATGTATTTATTTTGACGTCAAGTAGAAGTAACATTTATTAGTTAAAAAAAAAAATTTTTTTTTTTCATAATGTTTCTCTGAAACTTTTCAAACATGTCAATTTATATTTGAAATATACATTTGTTTATTTTTCATGAAGACTTGTGGATAGAATTTTACTTTTTCATAAACTAAAGAAATTCATATTTCATATCTACTATTTTCTCTCTTTTCATGACTTTAGTGCTTGTGGAGTAAACTAGACAAATGCAAATTTATAATAAATTGTTATAAAGTGTCACTGCCAACACTTGAGTTTGAACATAGATCGCCAATGAGCAAACACAGGTGATCCCATTATTGAATTAAGTAGACCATATGACCATAGAGGAAATGCATATACATAGAAAATCATGTGATGTCTAGATTGATCTCTTTTTTTCTAGTCTATCCTCTATACGGATTGTTATTTCTACTCAATCTTCTATTACTATATGGACTGCTATTCTCTACTTGGTTCACTATACTATTTCTCTATTCAGATCACTACATTGATTACTTCTCGGGCAAGTACTATTAGTGCGAGTGATATTCGAAGGCCTCTGACACCAGTATTGTTCAATGGCATACTATAGTTATATCTACAATTACAAAGTCTCTACTACAATGAGCATTACAAAAGTGACGATTATTTGTTGGCATCACAAAAATGGCATTGAGTGTTTGCCAACATCACAAAATAAATCATTACAGTGCCAAAAGTTTTTCTTTTTCTATCTGAATTTCTGAGATGAGGAGTTACTATTTAGACTGTTTACATGTGAACTATTGTCCTCATCTTTGTCGTCTATAGGACAATGGCATAGTGGATGAAAGTGTTGGTTAATGAATTTGGTAACAGTGAGTTCAATCCCTGGGCTGGGCACTGTGTACTTGTATTCAGTGGAAATGGAGTGAGCAATAACTGAGCAGTACTAAAAATAAGAACTAAACAAGATATCCCTAGACATGGGCAGTGGAACAAGAACAGTCTCCCCCATAGATAACCCAGGTTATCCGGATCGATATATACCTGATGAAGGCTAGAGGGTATAATGAAACATTGTAATAACAACAAAGATAAGGTTAATAGTCTGCATGTAAATAGTGTAAATAAACAATTTGTTTTTCTTAAACTCAAAGTAACCTCTTACCTTGATTTTTAAAAATTTCTGTGATTTAGATCATAATTTAAAAAAATAAATTTGACTGAAAGGAAAAGATTTAGAAAAATATAACTTAATCACAATTATTTTTTCATGCAATTTCATGTTAGAAGGAATGTGTTCAACATATTGAATCAAACATTTATTAACTATCAGTTGAATAAGTTTTTACTTTTACTTTAAAATAAAATTTGAATCATTCCAAGTCTTTCTTATTATGCATAAGCATTTACAAATTCTTTAACATGGGCAGTTTTTGCATTCATTGTGTTGAACAAGACAATTTTGCTGCTCTGTTTTATAAGGATGAATTATGTTGGCAAGAAGGTCGACTTTGGTAATGACTTGGTTGTTTTGTTTTTTTTACACAATTTCTATCAGGGTTTTTTTTTTTTTTTTTTTTTTTTTTAAGGAGTTTTTTCAAGATTCTTGAACAATTCTTTCCAAATATCTACTGTTCCAGCAAGGGTACATACATCATCCTGAATTTCATCCAAAAATTCAGTTTTGGTTTTATATATATATATATATATATATATATATATATAATCATTTCACCTAAGTAAATGCAATAATGCCTCTACGTTGCAACAGGTTACTGGGGGTGAAAGGGAATGAGAAAACTTTAGGAAAGGGATCTGCCAACCCAATCTTAAACAGGAAACATGGGATAAATCTCTACTGTTGTTCAAAATGTTAAATAGATAATACAATTAATTTTTGCTATTTCTTTATTTTAAATACTTTTCAACAAGAAACAATTGTGTGTATCATTGTATAAAAAAAACTCAAAAAAACTACTATCATAGAAAAAAAATGATGGTATTTCTGTTTTTCTTTCTTCAGGTGTTACTATTGTTAACATATTTACATCCCTGCCAGCCATAAAAAAGAGCTTTAGTTTCTTGCCAGTGCCAAGTACATAAGTTGTTCATTCGTGACCAGAATAATAAGTATATTTGGATAGTACACATAGATAGTACACATAGAAAATGACTGGATTATTTATATATAGATTTATGCTTCCGTTTTGGATCAAAACAGCTGCAATCTACCTACGAGTGAGTTTTAAATAGACTATTATTCTTTTTTGGAGAAAAATTCACCTGGGATATCTTTATTCCAAACACCCCTTTTATTAAATATTCAGGAAATTTCCTCCACTTTAATTTACACTGCAAGTGCTCTAGGACAAAATGATTCATTACTGGAATTATTTAAAAAAAAAAAATAAATAAATAAAAAAGAAAGGAATAATGCATCAAAAAAACAATATTTAGTCGCTGTTGCAATGCAAACAGGTGTTTGTTCTCTGTGTTCTATTTCCTGTCTGTGCAGTCAAGTGTGGTGACATTGATTTCATAAGTTGAATGCACATGCACTCACTCAATACCTTTTTAAAAAAAAGGGTCAAAATTAAATGTAGATTTTTATTGACATAATTAGGGGGAAAAGTCAGGCAGATGATGAAGCTAAAAAATTAAACAAAAAAAGACAAAACAAATTGTGTTAAAAGAACAAAGCTGAGACTGAGGGTTGCCAAATTAGCAATTGCTAATTTGGCAAGCCTCACTTATCCTACTGTCCTCCTTGATAATCTCTAAAGTTATTCGTCTCAGCTTTGTTCTTTTAACACAATTTGTTTTGTCTTTTTTTAATTTTTTAAAAATCAGCAACCCAGTTCTATACCATTACATGTGCCATGAGGTCGTCTCTAATTAACATTATATTTTCCAGATGAAAACTAGATGTTTCTGTTAATTTTAAAATGGGATATTTTCATTGTGTAAATTTAGGATAACCTTTTTTTTTTCTTTTTTTTATTTTGTTAGTCTTATTTTCTGCTGACCCATTCTTATGTGGCTATTTTGTTTTTTTCTTTTAGCCTTTTCATCTCTGCAATTAAAACATAATCCAACAGATTTCCAGTTTTAAGAAATATCCTGTGTTTCTTAAACATTTGCATGTCATGCCTCCTCATCAGAGCTCTTTCTGCCTGAAGGCACTGGCGCAAATCAATGGGATTTCTTATCTTCAGCTTGACCATCTGCTCAGACTTATTTGTGTTTCTTAAGCACCAACCGAGCCAACATGTGGTTTATACTGCGACTATGCTGAGCAGATCTTAGAGTTTAAGTATGTATCCCACCAATATAAAGTTACAAACCATAGCTAAAGAATTCAGTTTGCCCTGCTATTTAACTCATAGTGAGGGGGAGAAGAGATGGATTTATACCTTTTCACAAGGATATTTTTTTCACCTATTTTTTAATCTTTTATTAATGTTCACCCAATACAAGGCCCAGGAGAGGGTTACTGTGTGAACTTATATTAGTATTAGTGTAGGAAAGAACAAGCGTTAAGAAACTCTAGAAGGAACTGGAAACCCAATCCGAAGCAGGAAACAAGGGATAAATCTGTACTCCTGTTCAAAATACTGGGGAGGAGTGTGAACTGGACGATAGGTGAACCTATCTTCTCCTATTGGTGGAATAGAAAAACAAATTATAAAATTAAATAGGGAAGAAAATTCATGGGTTCCGGCGCAGATGTTAAGAGTACATAGCTGAAACAGACTTTAGAAGAAACTGAAAACCCAATCCTAAACAGGAAACAAGGGATAAACCTCTACTCCTGTTCAAAAGGCCAGATTTGTGCCAAAGGGAATGAAATGATCTTAACCAAAATTCAAACTCTGCTCACTAATTTCTTGTTCTTAGCCTCTAATCATGACACTACCAGCCCATCCACTTCATGCCTTAATGTGCTCTAAGAAACTTCTATATTGGTCTAGAACAATGGTTCCCAAATAGTGTGATGTAGCAGAAGAGGATAGGAAGTGAGGCAGAATGATTGAAAGGCAATCAAAGATTTTGAAATAATTTCAAAGAATTAATCTGTCAAAAATAAATATGATTTAAAAATTTAAAATATTATTATGGATTATAAATAATTATTGACCAGTTTTATCATTGTGATATTTTTGCATTATATTAAGAATATAGTAACTAAGGTCTGCAAATTGGAGAAGAGAGTTATCAGTGATAATGTTCTGACTTTGAATCTGTGGTTATTTACCTTTAACCTGCTCTCTGTTTCTTATTTTTAAATGTACTTTTTATCACACAAAATTTATTGAAGCACAAACAAATTTTAATTCTGAAAATGCAGCCCAGAAAAAAAAATGTTTGGGAATAACTGCTGTAGAACATTCTATTTATTGCTTTAGTGCATGCTTTTAACATGCTATTTGGTTTATCAACTTTTAGATAAATATCGAGATGTTACCTTTTTACTCTCTTGATTCATATACAATTATGACTAATGCTTATTACCAAATTTTTTTTTGCATTTTTTTAAATCTATGCCATGAATTGAACTTTATCTTAATGTCAGTTGAATGGAAAGAATCTTTTCCTTTTAATTCAAATTAAGAATTTCAACCTTTACATAATAACTGTCCATGAAGTTGTTGTCTTAACATTGAATTGGAAATCTGGTTGAGTGCCGGCATACCCACCCCCTTTCCCCCTGCCAAACCATATGTTGAGTCCTGCTGTTTCTTCTCTCAGGTCTTTTCAGTTTCAATGCCCTTCACTCGGCCTTGTTTTCAAATGTTGTACTTTCATATTTTTCTTTTTTTCCCCCCCCCACCTCTGGGATAGGTGTGAGCAGTGCCATGTACAACCTTCCAAGTATACATGTCCTCGATGTGAAATCCGGACATGTTCTCTAGGCTGTGTAAAATCTCACAAAGTTGATTCTGGCTGTGATGGGATCCGTGATAAAACTGCATATATCCCCCTAGAGGATTTCAGTGATATAAATTTGCTGAGTGGTAAGTTTTTTTTTTTAATTTTATAAACAAGCATATATATATATATATTTGGGCAACAACCTTACTTTTGAAAATTTTTTTATTAAATATGGCAGACAAGGAAGATTTAATTAATTTTTTATTTTGTTTTCCTAGCGTTCTAACATTTTTCCTTTTTGTAGGAGTTAGGGAGTACAGAAAATTTCTGCAATTTTCATTGTCCCAATCACTTTTGGCCACTTCTTTAGCCATTTAAAACAGTGGAGATGAAGTGTTCAAAGTTATTTTAAAATAGAAAGATACTCACATCCAGCAGTGCTCAACAAGCAAAGGCTTGGAATAAACACTTCTATTCAAAGCAACACAAAAGATAAAATAGTTTAAACAGTCAAAACATGAGGAAAACTAACAACATCTAAAATAAAAAACCCTTGAAAATGGCTGAAGAATTGTCTGGAAGCACTTGGGACAATGAAAATTATGGAAAATTTCTGTACTCCCTTTAAAACAGAAAAACGGAATGATCCTGAAAAAAACTTTAAAAAAAATTAATTAAATCTCCTTGTCTATTGTATTTAATAAAAGTAAGTTATTTATTTTTTATTTTTTTATTTTTTTGTATATTCCACACAGGTAAAAATATATCTGAAAAAGAATTTGAAAATGCAACTGGAGTCTTCAAGAATATTTATTTAAAGTAACTTTACTGGTTTACAATTTTTCAAAAGTTAAATTGAGATAGAGATGTGTGGCTATGACATGATCATTGCATAACTACACTTAAATATCCTTAAAGACTCTACTTGCATTTTTAACTTCATTTTTGTCTATATATATATATATATATATATATATATATATATATATATACACACACACACGTGTGTGTGTTTTCTGTTATCTGGTACAGTTCTTCTGTTTGTGATTCTGTAATGCCAGTCCACGGGGTTCAGTGAAGGAGGGTCTTCACTGAGACCTATACGGTTTACTTTTTCAAAGCCATTTTTAACCAGTGGTCTTAGAAATTAGTTGTATATAGACAAGAGTCTAGATAATTCTGAAAGGATTTGGCATCATGTATGGCAACTATATGAAAGACTCTATCTGACAGGAACATTAGTCTGACTGTAAATAAAAATTGTCTGGTTTCAGGTAGTGTATGGAAATGATAAAATTCAGTCATTTTCCTTTTATCAGCCCAATGCTCAAAATGTATCTCAGGCAACTAGTAAGTTTTTAACATTCACATATATGTTGGGTTCAGTTTGAACCCAGCAAAATGAAGTCCATATAAATAGTAGAACCATTACAGAAACTCAATTCTTTAAATTGAAATATACTCAGCTATAAATATGAATTTCCTACCTTGTGTGTGATATTTATTTTTAATAGCATTTTGAATAAATTCATTACTTGGCCACTGTTTAATTTCACACTATTAGATTTGATGGAGGCATGTTGAAATGCTTATTCAAAAACCCTGTTCTTTGAATGAAATTAAAGAATAAAAAAAATTCAATTCAAGTTATGACATTTTATCACTTAAGCAATGTGTTCACAGAATTTGAGAATTAATTTGAAAGACTTATCAACTATAATGGCAGCCATGTTAAATGACTGCATTAAGTATTTTTATTTATACATCTTGGGTTAAGATATAAAACTGTGTTTATAATATACACATAAGCAGAAATAAAATTCTGATTTATCTAAACTTTTATCTTTGTGTTTTATGTGTTCTCTTTTATTTTGTTATTTCCAGCTTAACTTTTGGCTTTCTGGCTTCAGAAACTGAACTTTATTATTTTGATTTTTTTTAATTTTAGTTTTAAAAGTTGATTGCTTACTTGGACATTTTCATAAATTAAGAACACTAAGTTGACAAAAGAATACTGACTGTTTTCTATAATTTTTATTAAATGCTGTTCAGATTACAAGACAATGCTAGAAAAGATCTCCAAAATGTATTTTTACTATAAATTTGGATTAAATGAATGAATAAAACCCTGTCCAGATGATTAAAATAAGCTATTTGCTATCAAACTATTAAATTTTTGATTACATTTAAACTAAACAATAATTCAGCATCTCCTTTCTATAGAAAAAAAAAAAAAGATTGGCCTCAAATATTGACATCAAAGTTGTGATGTTAAAAAATCTGGCTTACAGCTACATCACATTGAAACACCTGTTTCCATACAATCACCAGAGTTAAGCAACATTGAGCTTGGTCTGTACCTTGATGGGTTGTATGCTTGAGAATACCAGATGCTATAAGTTTAGATGTGTAGGTGGTGTAATGGATAATAGCTCAGAATTGTTAATAGTTCCGATTCCAGTTGGGTTCGTTATATTTACTTCATAAATACTTTTGGTATGAACCCCCCCACTTCTCCCCCAGCTATGGATTAATTAGTAAGACTTGTATAACTTTTGTAATGCCCGTTAGTAGGAGAGACTTTGTAAATCACAAATACAACAATAGTAACACCTTTGAACAATACTCTGTAAAATGCCGCTAATTCTCATATATATATTTCCTTTACTCGTCATGTGATCTAGTTATTTCAAGATGAGATCGACTGTGCTTGCTCTCTGGCGATCCATGTTCAAACCCAAGCGTCAGCAGTGATACTTTATTCCTATATGACAATAACTAAAATCATTATCTCAAAAAAAATTCTTACAATCTAAGAATATTTTCTGGCTTTAAATAACCTGCAAAGTGTTGATAAGCCATAGAAAAGGAATTGGCCAATCAGTCAATATCAAGAATTGATGCTTATTTTGCAGAAAATGAAATAACACCAACATTAGTATCCCCCCACCCCCACCCCCGACCCAATATGGTTAAATCCAAATATTTGGTTAAAATGGACTCTGTACAGGATATTTCAGATAATATTTTTTCAACAATAGGAAAGTAAATTGTCCACAAATGGGCCAATTATGATGGTATAGCCTTAACCTCATGAGCATGAAAGTTGTATAACCAAAGTATCACACCTTATTGATGAGAGGATGATGCGTTATGGGCTTTGGACAACTTTTGTGTCATAAAGACACTTTTATTGTCCTAAATTGTACCACTATTAAAAGGCAGTTATCTTTGACTTGAGAAGACTTAAAGATTTAGGGTTTTTCAAAATTAAGTTTTTAAAATTGTAGAATCATTATTGGAAAACAATTTTGATTTTTATCATTAATGTTTTTAATATGACATCATTTCCAGGCAATTCGTACCACTTTTGATTCTTTCATTTACAAACATGTTCACCAAATAGTGTGAAATCCTTAAAGATTGATACTTAAAGCTAATAGGATTCGAACAGAGAAAGGGCAAAGTGTTATGGAACTAAATACACTGGTATTGATATATATTGGAGCAATTTCGAAAGTAAACTGAAAAGCATACAGTCATCATTACTAAAACTGAATGAAAATATATATATATATATATATATATATATATATATATATGATGCAGTGGAGGTAACTGTTTTGGAAACCTCTTTCAGTTGACAAAAGACAAATTTAATCAAATGTTCAGATGTCATTGAAACTGAGGATTTTGGGAGATACTGTGTGGAAAGATAGCTGAACACTAATGAATGCATAATTTCTGTCCAACTTCATTGGTAGAGCCAATTAAAACTGCATCTATTTTCTCATGACTTAAAACTCACTCTTAGTGGTTCTATGTCTGAATTATTAATTTTTTATTTTATTTTTTTATTTTTTTTTTTTTTAACTCCCTGAATTTATTAGCCGATTTATCTGTTCAGCTTGAACTTCTGGGAGATCTTGAAGCAGACTCAAAGACAGAAGGCCACCCACCTATTAGATTCTAATTGCTTGAGACTCAATTTCCTCCTCTTGGTAAAATTATCAAAAATGACGTTTTCCTGGGATGGAAGTAAAAAGAAATGAACTTGGAAAATAAAATAAAAAAATGTGTGTTTCTTAATTGATTAATATTTTGTATTTACAAAAAAAATGCAGTTTAAACTTTTCAATATCGTTCACATTAATTTCCCTCATAATTCTTTCCTTTTTATTTCATTGTTTAGATTATCGTTTACTGGAAGATGTCGCCCGAGTAGCAGAGCACGGTAAACGAGATATCTTGATGAAACAGCACAGAAAGCCTCCTTTTGTAAGTTTATAAATTTAGATGAGATGCTATATTGACCATGTTGAAAACCTGTTAGAAGTACTGTTGGAAAACACATGCGACATTTTTATATATTGCATATCTTATAAGAGATTGAAACAAGTCAGTTTTTGAATATATTTTTTTGAAGATGTTGATAAAATCCTGAAAGGCTAACAATCTATTGTTCATGCCATTTGTTCAACTCAGGATGAAACCTATAACAGGCCTAGAGGGTGTGCAGAGATCTTAGCCAAATTGGGGCCCACTGATTTTAAGCTTAACTTTCTCAGAAATTATGTATGAATTTAGATCCCCACCCTAGTTGCATGGCTGACTGACCTTTTATAAGTATTGCCTTGGTTTACCTTCAATATCAAAACTCCCAGATATCAAATTTCTCAGTTTGTTGACAAGTGTATTGATAAAGAGAGCAAATAAAACTTAAGCTGTCAGTGAATTTTTTTTTTTTTTTGTGTGTGTGAAGTGAAGCTGACAACAGTATATTAAAAGATGGGCTATACAAACCAGAAGATGGGAGGTGAAAAGAACAAAATCATTCTATTAAAGAATTTGGGTATTTTGTTTCCCTTGTTATTAATTTTTCATTCGTATTTAATTCTATCTTAATTCTTGCATTTTTTATTTTTCTAAAATTTGAAAGCAAATATTAGTAAAAAGATTAATGATGGTTAACATCATGTCATCTTAGAAAAATGAAATAAAAATAAGGCTCAAACCTCTTCTATTTTGGGGTGTTTGGTCATGTTTTTTTTCTTTTAGTTTTGTCTATTTTCCTTCTTTTCTTTTAGCTTTTTCATTCTTTTCACCTTTTGTCTCTTCAAAAAAAATGGTTTTGTTTCTTTTTTTTTTACTGGATTTTTTTTTTTTTTTTTACTTTTTTTTTTTTTTTTTATTTTTTTTTCTTTTTTTTTTTTACTGGATTTTGTTTCTTTTCTTCTTTTTTTTTACTGGATTTTGTTTCTTTTCTTTTTTTTTACTGGATTTTGTTTCTTTTCTTATTTTCTTTTTTTACTGGATTTTGTTTCTTTTTTTTTTTTTTACTGGATTTTGTTTCTTTTCTTTTTTTTTTACTGGATTTTGTTTCTTTTCTTTTTTTTTTTTACTGGATTTTGTTTCTTTTCTTTTCTTTTACTGGATTTTGTTTCTTTTCTTTTCTTTTTTTACTGGATTTTGTTTCTTTTCTTTTCTTTTTTTACTGGATTTTGTTTCTTTTCTTTTTTTTCTTTTTTTTACTGGATTTTGTTTTTTTTTTTTTTTTTACTGGATTTTTGTTTCTTTTCTTTTTTTTTTACTGGATTTTGTTTCTTTTCTTATTTTTTTTTTCTGGTTTTTTTTTTTTTTTTTTTTAATGTTTTTTTATATACTGTGTCCGTCATGAATTGGCCAAATAATGCCTTTCCACAACTTCCCATTTTTGTAGCTCCAAGCAATATTTGTCCCTTTACTATCCCTCCCAATCTCTGTTCTACCATCCATTTATACCAGTTTGTTTGGTAGGTTACCTGCTGTTTTCATTTGCTCCTCTTACCTTCAGTGTGTTCTGTGAGTGTCAAATTCTCCAAGCCCTCTTTCCTTATGTATCCTAGAAATTTACACTCTCTTTCTGATAGGGGAAAATACAAATGAAAAGTGTCTTTTTTATTCCTATTTTCCTTAAAACTTCCTCTTTGTTCACATGTTCTGTCCTTGGTATTCTCTATTTAATATTTTTAGTTTTTGGAAAGTACCATTCATTTTTTTTTCTGTGTGTTAATCTTGGATATATGGCATGTATGGAGCATAGCAGTAATTGGTACAGAATTCATTTAATTCCCAAATTCATGAACCAACATTCTAATTTACTTGTCTGTTATCCCTTTGCCTAAGTGGAAACAGGATGTGTAATAACTAAGAACAGGATGAGATATCCCTAGACAGCAGAATGAGAACAATGTAACCTCTGTAGATTGATCAAAAGGTTCAGTTCAATAATCTATGAAAATTGATCAACAAGCATCTGATGAAGGCTGAAAGGCATAATGTATGAAAGGTTGTGACAGCAGTCAGAGTGTAAATAATGTAAATAAAAATAAACTTGTATACATAAGCCACTATTTACAGCTTTTTACCATGGAACAAGTTAGCTTCTCCTACCATTATAACTACAGAGAACTTTATTCTCTCTGGGTGCTTTAAACTTGTGGCCTTGTGATAGACTATACTTGACAAAACACCATTTAAGACTAAATAATTTTTTTTTTTATATAAAGCTACATAGCAATTTAAAGATGATTGCACTGTCTAATTCTTTTGTTTGGGGTGAGATTAAATTTTTGTCTCACTTGATGTGGTCAGGAAATTACAGAAACTGTTGCAAAAATTCCATTTTTGAAGAGGTGATTAGAAAGGTACACCCCCATGTTCTATCCTCTCCCAAATTTTCATTCATTTTAATCCCCACTGATTTGAGCTGCACCCCGAGGCTTATCTGTTAGTGAATGTGTTGCAAGTACAAGATCAATTTCTAAATGCTCTACTGATCATTGCTAATAACTGATCCTACTTCAACCACCCCCCTCCCCTTTGTTGTTTTTTTAAGGTAGAGGAACACACAATTACTTATTGCTTCATTGACAACATAAAATATAATACTTGACTACACCACATTGCTCTGTTGTTCCAATGTTCAAACATTTTTTCTAGCAGATCATGAAATTTGTTTTTTTTTCATTGGCTTGTTGAAACCAACATGCCACCAATTCTTCACATTTAAAAAGAAATTTATACTTGTTTCTCAGTGCCAAACCAAATTTTATATTTATGGGTTTTTTTTTTCACTTTTTTTTTTTTTTTACTTTTTCTTTAATTCTTAATTCTTCCTCTGCGTTGCCTTCTCTTTTGTAATTTATCTCTTTCATTTTATAATCTCTTGTGAATCTTTATGTCCTCCTCACTGTTTACAGCTTTTTAATCTCTTAAAAATTCCTTTTATTTTCTTATAGCTGCTTTTTTATACTTTTGCTTTGACCCTTTACTTCCTGTACTTATGGCTTATTCTCTTCCTTTTCTTTTGGTTTCTTTCTCCACACTTCTTTTTTTTCTTCTTTTTTTTTTTTTTTTAACTTCCTTTTGGCCTCTTTTCTATTTCCCCCTCCTATGACTCCATGGTTTTCTTTTGGCATTTTTTTTTTATTTTCTTTCTACTGCATTTTTTTACTTTTTGTTGTCATTTCTTTTTTCTTCTTTTGTCTCTGTGTTTACTTGGCTTTTCTCTTGTCTCCGTGTTGACTTGGCTTTTCTCTTGTCTCCGTGTTGACTTGGCTTTTCTTTTGTCTCCGTGTTTACTTGCTTTTCTCTTGTCTCCGTGTTGACTTGGCTTTTTCTCTTGTCTCCCTTGAAATTTTTCTTGTCTCCGTGTTTACTTGGCTTTTTTCTCTTGTCTCCGTGTTGACTTGGCTTTTCTCTTGTCTCCGTGTTGACTTGGCTTTTCTCTTGTCTCCGTGTTGACTTGGCTTTTCTCTTGTCTCCGTGTTGACTTGGCTTTTCTCTTGTCTCCGTGTTGACTTGGCTTTTCTCTTGTCTCCGTGTTTACTTGGCTTTTCTTTTGTCTCCGTGTTTTGGCTTTTCTCTTGTCTCCGTGTTGACTTGGCTTTTTCTCTTTCTCCGTGTTGTCTTTTCCGTGTGTTGACTTGGCTTTTCTCTTGTCTCCGTGTTTACTTGGCTTTTCTCTTGTCTCCGTGTTTACTTTTTGTCTACGTGTTTACTTGGCTTTTCTTTTGTCTCCGTGTTTACTTTTTGTCTCCGTGTTGACTTGGCTTTTCTCTTGTCTCCGTGTTTACTTGGCTTTTCTCTTGTCTCTTTTATATCCTTTTTATTTTATCTCCTTTATATGCTTTTTTCTTTATATCTCTTTTCCTTTGATTCCTTTTCTTTATATTCCTTTTTCTTTTGACCCATTTTCTTCTTTTACTTGTTTTCTTTTAACTCCATTTCTTATTCTCCCTTTTTTTTCTCTCCTTTCATTCTCCCCTACATTTTTTACTCCTTCTGATCCTCTCTTTCCCTCGCTCTTTAATTTCTTTCCCTCTTTCTACCTCCACATTCTACTGCATTTCACTTTTTCTTTCTTTATTTCCTCCTCAAATGTGCCAACATTTTACTTTGTCTTTATTTCCTCTTTAGCATTTAGCCTTTTCTCACTCTTTCTCTATCCCTCCCATGTTTCAGCTTCTCTCTCTCATTTATCAGCTTTATTTTCTCCCTTTTTTTAACTTACTTTCCATTATTTTTACTTACTCTTCCAGTGATCCCTTTTTTGTTGAGTTCATTTTCTTTTTTTTTGCTGTCTCCAATGACCTGCCTTCACTAGAAAGACAATTTCCCTTACTCTACAATTTTCCTTTAGTCCTTTCTCCATTACTCTCTCTCTCTCTGATTCAAAGAACTTGTCTACTCATGAAACTGTTCATCCCATTTTGGCCCTGAGACAAAATCTCTGTTCATCAAACCAGTCTCAGGCTTAATGATTCCTTTTGGCATGTAAAAATGCTTTTCAATGTTGTTTTCTGCTGTTTCTTGATTGGCACATTTGTTCTCTGTTTATCCATCTGCTCTCCACTCTAAACTAGCATGAAAATAAGTCTATGCATATGTTTGTTCTTGCACCATTATCTACAATATGTGTGCATCTGTTCATTCATTCATATATATATATATATATATATATATATATATATATAAGGTGGTCCTAAAAAGTTGTTGATATGATGTACTTCTCAATATTTGAGCAAATCACTAAACATCAGAATAGATTCTCTCTCTCTCTCTCTCTCTATATATATATATATATATATATATATATATATATATATATATATATATATAAGTAAGTATACAAGCAATGCAAAAGTTGCACACAAAATGTATTGATTTACCTTCTGTATGCCTATTTTTGCATCCCATTATATATAGTTACCTCCAAAGATTTGCAAAAAATGGACATACATGATAAAAACATACCTAGAATTTAAGTTTAATAAACTTTTTTGATGAATAATGAATTTTTACAAGAATTGTTTTAATTTTTGTTAAATTTTTATTAGAATATTTTATAAATTTTTAAATCTTTTCAAATTTTGTATTAATTTGTAGCTATGAAGTGACATTGTTTTTAAATAAAAACTATTTACTTATCATAAATTTTTTTTTTTTTTTTTTTTTGTGTGTATATAAATGAGCCAATTTTTGTAAGTATGGACGTCCATACACAACATTAGCTGAAAGCGGTAACTATAGTAAATGTAAAATTTATTTGTAATTTTCTAACATTTCCTCAACAAGCCTCTTCGTAAGTAAGACTATGAAATCACAGTACCTAAAATTCAATAAAATATTAGAATGCTTAAAATATTTTAAAACTTACTGGGTAGTTAAAAAGTTATGTAAAAATGGCTTTTATATTGTATTTGTCATGTAATTTTATATCTATTAAATAATGGTAACTCCTCATTACAGAAATTTAGACAAATTTCTCTTTCTGATATTCCTTCCTTCCTTTGATTTCGGTGGTTTATCGTTTCTTCTATTCTTTTGATTGGTTGTTGCAACTTGACATTTGACTCTCTTGCTGCTCATGAGTCACAAAATGCTTGGCTTAGAAATAAATGCCCCGTTTTGCTTGTGATTTCTAGGGGTCTCTCCCTCCATCATCACTTATTATGTTGCCAACTCTTTGCATGATACATTATTTTTCCTCCGAAAACAACCTCACATCAACAGTGTCTTGACACCTGAGCATTTATGCCATATAGTGAAAATGTCTGTCCGCCCACCATTAGTCTAACAGGAAATCGTTGATTTCTTTCTTTCTTTTTTTTTTTTTCCCCTCTTTATCCACTCTAAACTATTTTCACATAGCAATCACGGAATTATCTCCCTTAAATTCCCATACGAGTTTTGTATTCTGAGCCAAGTGATATTAACCAAAAATTCTTTATGAAATGTTCCCAAAATATAAAATTGGGAGACATTATTCCCTGCTTTTCTGAGCATTGTTTATTTCTATTTCTTATGCGACTCTATGGAAATACTCTCTGCAGAAAAAGCTCAAACTTTTACTAGAAAATATTTCTTATTTTTTATTTTTTTTTTTTTTTTATTTTTTTTTTTTTTTATGAAAGAGGAAGAGTTTTTCCTTACTGGCAAAATTTACCCTTAAGAGATTTTGTCATTTGGTTGTACTAAGCTGGAATTTTGACTCTCCTTTAGAAAATTGAATATTTCTGTAGGCATGTGTGATTTGATTGTGCTGTACGATTTTTTCTGAAGCCTGCTTTCTCTTTGGGTTGCTGTTGCTCAATAAACATCTTATTCTACATGAAAAGCTTTTAGATCTGAGAAGGAAGACCTATCAAGTAATAGTTTTTGAGATCTCTGTTGCTTTGCTTGTACAGCAGGATGGTAAGCATCCTATAGCGAAGAAAACGGCGACTTACCTCGTCAAACCAAGCGACAGCGCATCGCGTGTATTCTACAACAGAAAATGTGGCGAAAAAGAAAATTACTTACCAAACAAAAGAGCACGTATTCCGCAGGACATGCTGAAGATGGAATATTTGAATTAAAAAACAAGTCTGTAGCAAAAATCACTATAAAAGTATTTTGATATGCAAATTACTGAACATCCTCTCCCAGCTGTCGACGAATGAGAAAAGAAAAAAGGTTCTGCCGATAAAAGCAGTTGGTGTTCTCGAATCGAGAGCAGAAAATTCGGGCATTTTTGGCTACGGCGTTTGTTAGAGAGTGAGTTATTTTTTCTGACTGGTTACACGCATTGTGATTTGAGATATTACCGGCGAATCGAGTTTTCAGCATTTCTTTCTGCCCCCGATATTCGAGTCTGTACTTACAGTGATTTTTCTTTGTGTTGTGGAAGTAATCTGCGACAAATACTTCCTTTGCTTTCAGAACGCCTACACATCCCTTTTCTGAATAATGGTTGAAATGTAGAGTAAAGACTTTATGCAATTGCTCTGCACCAGCCAACAGCAACTTGGATCTATTATTATTTGTTTTTTTTTTTTGTTTTTTTCATAAATAAATCTTATCAATGATGCTCTGTCAGTTTTGGGATCAAGACTACACTGACTGCATCCTTGTGCAGAAGAGTGAACCCCTGCCAAAAAATGTCAATATATTTACCGTACCTGTTTTGAACCTTGTGCAAACTAGACCCATATACCAGTTTTTTTACACTTTTGTAAACTGGATCCATGTGTACCATTTTTGACACTTTTGCAAATTGAACTTGCATAGATTTTTTGACACTTCTGCTCACTGGGTCAATATGTACCTTTCAAAGAATTTGCTATTAAATAAATCAGAAATGACTAATATATGATAAAACAAACTAAACAAAACCCGTCACTGATGTTCCAGATTATACACTTATTTATATTGATTTTATTGGGTTTGTGCATTTTTAAGTTTTTGAGATGCCAGTTTTTTGGGGTTTTTTTTATTCCTTTTTTAATTTTTATCTTCAAGTGTTTATGGGTGAGAAATGAAAATTTAAACAGTTTTAATTGTTTTTGTAAATAAACTGAAGATTGCCATATAATTTTTTACTTGCAAAAATTTTCACAAATTCTTACCCCCCCCAGCGCTTTGCCAATACCTTTTAAGACTTATTTTCTAAAACTAAATCTGATACTAGAAATTTTTAAAAACTTTTTAAGTTTTTTTTTTTTTTTTTTTTAATTCAAAATTTGTTGGTGAAAAAAAATGGGGCAAAACCAGTTTGAAAATTACATTGATAGATTTTCAGAATGATAGGGGTATTGTTAATTTAAAAATATTCCTTTCGTTAAATTACAAAATTTTGTATGTTAAATATTTATTTATTTCACATTAAAATAATGTACTGTTTTACTTGTTTTTTGTAGTTGCAATACCTAACAAAGGCAGCCTACAAACGAAACATTAGGTTTCGAACAATGCCTTTCCCAATGTATCGAAGAAAGAAAAACAATAGTATATACTACAGAAAGTAAGTAATGGACATTTTCACTTCACAAAGTTTATGAAATGCTTTTTTGTGAAATCTGTTGGCCTCTTAATGTCTCTTTTGTTTTTGTTTTTTTTTAAATAATCCTATTATGTTTTGATTGTGTGGTAAAACAAAATGCATATCAGAGACAATAAAAGGTAGAAATGTTTGACTGTTTCAGTGAAATGGAAAAAGTTGTCAATTTTGAATCTTTACATTTGTACCCACTTCTTAAAATAACAATCAGTATTCATATTTATGATTGTTATTGCAATATTTTGTTAAAGTTGTTAAGCTCAAATATTTAACAATGTGATAGGGAAATTTCTATGCATATTTTATTATCTGTCTATATTTCTGAGGTGAGGTATTATGTATACTCTTTACATTATTCGGACTATTGTCCTCATTTTTGTCACCATATTTATTACGTTTCAGCCATTGTACGCTCCAGCCTTCTTCAGGTGGTTGGTATGTCAAACTGAACCCTTTATTTTGCTCACTGGGGTAGACTGTTCTAGTTCCACGTGCCATGTTTAATGGATGTCAGTTATCAGTTATCTCCTGTTAATTCCCCTCTCCAAATTCTCCACTGCCAGTTAAGGCAGTGGAGAACTTTGAGAGGGGAATTAACCAGCAGTGGAGAATTTGGAGAGGGGAATTAACAGGAGATAACTGATAACTGACATCCATTAAACATGGCACGTGGAACTAGAACAGTCTACCCCAGTGAGCAAAATAAAGGGTTCAGTTCAATATTCGAACCACCTGAAGAAGGTCGGAGCATACAACAGGCAAAACATTGTAATAAATATGGTGACAAAGTTGAGGACAATAGTCCAAATAATGTAAATAGTGTGCATATTTTATTCTCGTAGAACTCGACATGAGCTTATTCAAACATTAACTTACGAATTAAAATATATCAGAAAATTCAAATAAGAAAACCATGAAATTTTCTTGGGCCTTTCTAGTTATTTTGAGCATTAAAAAGGGATGATATTTTTGTCTTTCGGTTTCATTTTTTTGTTGAATATTTTAAACATTTCATTTCTATATTGTTTGTTTTTTTTTTTTCTTAATCTTTTCTCTTAAACACCTTGCTTCTTTGACTCTCCAAATTCCATTCACCCATACTCATAAAAAAATTTTATATTTTTGAAAAAATTAATCAAATGTTAATTTTATAAAAAATGACTTCCTCTACTTTTATTTACTGTGTCCTTTCAGGATGTTAGCAATCATAGTTATCCACAATATCCTGTCTATTGTATTTATTAGATTTTGTCATTTTACCCCCTCCCCTAAACCCTGCTGCACCATTCATTCACTCAAGCTTGTTAGATAGGTAGGTTATACTTTGCTTTCCTCTCTCTCTCTCTCTCTCTCTCTTAGCTTCAGTCTGTCCTGTGAGTATCAAATTTTCCATACCCTCTTTCTTCATTATGTGCCCTAGAAATTTTAACTATCTCTTCCTGATGTTACATATGTGTTTTTTGTTTCCATTGTCTCTAGAACTTTGTCATTTCTCACATGTCCAGTCAATGGTATTCTCAGCATCCTTCTGTAGAACCACATTTCTGTTGCTTCAGGTCTCTTTTTGATTAGATATTTCTCTAGTCTTTGTTGGATGAATCTCGTATCAGTTGTATTTCATTATCTGTTTTTAGTTCTCAGAAAATGCTCAAAGAATGGATAATTCTTCTACTCCTATGTGCTGTGTCCCTTTGCTGACATTGGCGATCATGGCTCTCCACAATTTCTTGTCTTTTGTAGCGCTTAATAAACTTTGTCTTTTTGTGATCTCTCTCTTAATCTCTGTTCTTTCCATCCATTATCTCAAGCTTGCTAGGTAGGTTATGCATAGTTTTTCTCTATCCCACTTCAGTTTGTCCTGTGAGTATCTGTAGTGAACTACTGCAGAGGACAAAGAGGCCCAGTGTTGTATGCATTTTTTGCAAAAGTCAGTGTAACACTAGAGAAAATGGCTTACTTCCAGGACAAAAATGGATTCAAATATCTCTTGCATGTAAACTGTCCCAAAAGAAACAATGGCAGATTTGCAGATCACATATATAAAGCAGATAAACCCAGAGTCGGATAGACTCACGCAAGAGTCTCTTTTCACTTATGTAAATTTTAGCTGGCAATGAGGATATAAAAAAGGGCATAATGAGGTGACAGTAATTGCTGTATCAATCAGGAGACACGTGTTGTGGTCAGCAGAGTGTTTGACTAAAAGAAATGGATTGCAGTAATTAATTACAAGTCAGAAGAAACAACAATTTTACAAAATTTTCACTACAATATCAAATTTTCTAAGCTTTCTTTCCTCGTTATGTGCCCAGAATTTCAACTGTCTCTTCCTGATGTTAAGTATGAGGGCCCTTTTGTTTCCATTTTCTCTAAAATTGTCATTGCTCACATGTTAGGTCCAGGATATTCTCAGCATCCTTCTGTAGAACCACATTTCTGTTGCTTCAAGTCTCCTGTTCATCTGTGAGGAAATTTTTCAGCATTCACTACCATATAGTAGGATCGATATTACATAACAGTTCAATACTTTTTCTATTGTTTCTAACAAAATTTTTCTGTTTCTTAATACTTCACTTAGCTTCTGGAAGGCATCTTTTGTGATTTTCAGATTTCCATGTTGCACTTTCCATCCTTTGTTAAAACACTTCCAGATATTTAAATTGTTACACATGTTTAATTTTGGTATCTCCAATTTGTAATTTGCTTATTTGGCTGTTCCTTTTGCTAACAACCACAAAAGTGACTAATTCAACTAATTGACTGTCTAACTTAAATTTTATAAGAATTAAATCCAAGCAATGATTGAGAAATTAAAATGTGATAAAAATTAAAGAGAATATTTTACATTTAATTTTAAAAAAAGCTTGTGGTTTGTGAGCTTTAAACTGCATTCGTGGGTAGCATTAAAAAGTAGTTTAGAAAATTGTAGTGAGCTCTTAGATATGGGGGTGGGGGAGAGCTTTTAAGAATAGGAGGATTTTTCTCAGTATACAATAAATGGATGATTCCCTAATAAGAAAACCATTTAAAGCATGAAATTAATAAATGAGGAGCTATTAATAAAATAAACTTGGGGACATTGGAAAAAAACTTCCTGGAAATAAAAAAAAAATAAATAAATAAATGTAAGTCCCCCCCCACACACACACCATCTGTTAGGCACCTAAGAGGAAACATTTAAATTAATAATCAACATGATAATGAATTTTTATGTGATGGCTGTCTTGTTAAAAGGGAATAATAATGTTTGTTATATCTTAAGACAGCCATCACTGAAAAATATAGTTTTTGTCATGATGAATGAGTTCAATGCATCAATGCATCCATAAAAATTAAGTTAATAATTAAAATAATTGCAAATATTAAACAAAGCAAAAAATAAATAAATAAAATAACTAAAAATCCACCAAACTAATTTTTGCTGAAATATTTCCAGAATAATATATATGTAGTGATTCATAAATAAGAACCAAGAGTTGTGTCCCCTGATTTGTTAGGTTATAGTAAAAGGAAAGGAAGTAGAATTCCCAGAATCCACCAAAAGAACGTTTTCTTAAATGAGCTCACAAGAAAGATGCCTCTTTATACAGATAAGCTAAAACCATTTCTTTCTTTGCTTTAATACATAAAATATATATATATTGATCAAAGAAAGAAGTATATATATATATATATATATATATATATTGATCAAATAAATATAATATATATATATAATCTGAAAAAATGAAAAGACATCTTGATAACTCATTTAAGAAAAGACACATCTTTCTGCTCCAGCAGCTGGTGGTCAGAAAGAGACTTTGTATTTTCATGCCAAATTTGTTTTTTTATATAGTGCATTATGGGAATTTTACTTCCCTTTATTTACTTTAGCCTAATAAGTCAGGGACACATCTCATACTTGTTATTTATGAATCTTTACTGTATAATATTAGTATGGGATTTGCCTGTTTACTTCTAGAAAGGAGTTTCAAATTAGAATAGGGTTCATTTAATTTTATATCTGTTTTCTTTAATAACACCAACAAACAAAAATATGATAATGGACACTATAAGAACTTGGAATTTCTTTTGAAAATATGGTCTCTTCACTGAAATTTACCATACTGCAGTGGTTAGTAAGTTTTATGAGAAAGTTCATTTCTGCCTGAGCATTCCATGAATGGGGTGTTGTGCCAATATTGGTCCAGTGATTTCTAATTGCATCATAGTCAAGTGGTTTTAGCAGTCAAATACTGAAGAAGAAAAAAGGTAATATAGTAGTGCAAAATTTAGTATTTATGGCTGTAATCAGGAAACACACATACAAGAAGATGTTTCTGTCTTCAGTCGTTTGTGCTTCTTTTTTTCTTTATGGTCAAAATAAAGTTTGTGAAATGGGATCTTTGGGGTGGCCACTCTCTTGATTTATTTTATTCCCTTTTGGTCAAATATTTTAAATTAAATGAAAACTTTTGTGAACAAGTGACACTTGACTGGATGTTGGAGATTTCCATTCAAAGTCTCATTTGGTATGGAAGTTAGTTCTGTGCTGCCTATTAGCAAGTACATGCCGACATTTGAGAAAGAATTGCCAACCACATGTTGGGCAGTGGTGTAGTAGGAGGAAAGGGAAAAGCTGACTTGCTGGTCTGATGGACTGACTTTATATATTGTTGTAATCACTTCATCCCAAGCAAGACAATAATGCCACTAAGGTGCAAGGGATTACTGAGAGTGAAAGAACATGAGAAAAACATTATTGAGGAGAGTGGACAATAAAATAACAGGATTCAAGGAGGCGGAAAAGGATTGACATTGAATTTAAATTTCATAGTTGACAGTGAAGCAAGAAGGCAGAAATGGGAAGACATTGTTAGCATAGATCATATGGTTTCATCTAGCAATTCCAGCAGTAAAATGATGAGACCTAGCTGCCAATCTAGTGCTGCACTTAAATTTGTGAATTTGAGGTGCCAAAGAGGAAAGCTCATCAAAATAATTACCACGGAAATGTTTATAGAATGGGCAAAGCAAAGCAGAAGTTGTCTTAAATATCACCTACCCCCCCCCCGCCCTCACTCCACGAGCCTGCAAGTGAATCCCTGAATGAACAACCAAATATCACCTCCTCCCCCCGCCCTCACCCCAAGAGCCTGCAAGTGAATCCCTGAATGAACAACCAAATATCACCTCCCCTCCCCCCTGCCCTCACCCCAAGAACCTGCAAGTGAATCCCTGAATGAACAACCAAATATCACCTCCCTTCCCCTGCCCTCACCCAAGAGCCTGCAAGTGAATCCCTGAATGAACAACCAAATATCACCTCCCTCCCCCCGCCCTCACTCCAAGAGCCTGCAAGTGAATCCCTGAATGAACAACCAAATAACATCCAAGAGCCTGCAAGTGAATCCCTGAATCCACCTCCCTCCCCCCGCCCTCACTCCAAGAGCCTGCAAGTGAATCCCTGAATGAACAACCAAATATGTTAGAAACAAGATTAAAGTCTTCACTTCTTGTCATGGTGATAATTACTACCTTTTGTTTTCATTATGAATGTACAGTGAACCTTTCTCAGTTTTTGTGTACACTGACACAAATGAGAATAGAGACACAACAATGGGGTTATGTGCCCAGTTGGTGAAAAAGCTGAGAGAGGGACCCATTGTTTGTTTGTTTACATCATTGCAAGCCTGGGTATTTTCTACCCATGCTTAGGAATCTAGGTAAACAATATTTATACCTTATGAATTTTATAAAAAATTTTCCTGTTTTAATTTTAGGATAGATTCTATCTTGTGGGATATTACTTGGGTGTTTCCACATTCTGCAGTTTTGCATACTGAAAAAAGGTGAGTCTTTAATGTTATACTTTAATCTTTTTTACATTTTTGCATGTGATCTGTTTATTCAAGAAAGCTATAGATTAATACTTGAAGAGAATGTATGTATAATCCGTATGACATGAGAGGGACTCTCTCTCTCTCGTTCAGGTAGAACAAGCCATAAAATGGTCATCAACTGAAAGACTGTGTTGGCAAATATATCTGTCAACTCCAACTCATTTCAAGCAACTCACCTCCCACAGTTCCATTCTTGGCAATCTGTGTTACCCAGATATCAAATAAGTACAGATGTTCTATACTATTTTTTTCTTTGCCAAGAAGTACCATACCACATGGACTTTTGTCTTTTAGATTCTTGTCTATTGCTTTCTTGAATTTCTTACTTCTCAGCAGTGTTCCTTACATATTTCAATTCTTTCTTCCATCTACCATATCAATTATTTTATGCTTGTTAAACTCTCTACTCTGACATAAAATTCAACTTTAAAACACTGTTAGTAAATTTGACTTTAAATTAATTTTTTTGTTTTTTATATTTATTTTTTAATAAATATCAAAAACAAAATTAATTTAAAGTCAAATTTATAAACAGTGTTTTAAAGTTGAATTTATAAAAAAAAGTCAATTTTTTCTTAAATTATTAGAGCATGAAAAAAAATATTAAAAGTTAGTGTCTTTCAATAATCAAATAGTACAGTTGCTCTTGGTCCAATTTGATATTTCACTTTATATTTTTTATTTTTACTTTTTGTAATTAGTAGCGAAATCATATTTTCTCTTTTCATTTGTGTTTGTTTCAATCTAAGTAGGAATGAATTCAAAACACTTTCCCCTCCCCAATTTATAGGCAGAAGCACACAAATGCCTGCTGAGATTTCTTCTTAGCCAATAAAAAAGGCCAGTTCTCAATTTCATCGGACTCAATCTCAGTCTGTCTTGTCTTAAGATCAGATGCTACATTCACTTGTCCAAACTTGCTTTTGTGTGTCAACCGCAATTCTTAGTTTGTAAATTTTTTGCCTTATTACCGTTAATCTGCCTTGCATATAATTGTTTGCTTGCTTTATACTATTTTTTGCCTTGTTCTTTTCTTTTTCTTGTTATTGCAAACTTTGCCAATTCTGTTTCTTGGACAGCTCTGTGACTTATTTTGTTACTCACTCCACAGGTTATCAACCCATGAATAGACTCTGTTTCAATGGTGACAGATCAAAATCTGAACTATGGGAGGTTAAATATTTACAGAAGCCCCTGTTTTGGTAGTGTCTTGTACCAAGAATATACTTTTAGATATATAGAGAATTCTTTAAAATGCGATCTCGCATATTTCCTTCCGTTTCAGTCATAGTAACTTGAGCACCACCCCCTTTTTAAAGCAATATTACTTGTTCTACTTCCATCTGCCAATTCAATATGATTATTTTCTGGATTACAATTATTATTGAAAGTAAGAAATTTAGATTTGTCAACACCAAGATGCGTGTTGGCCCCATAGGTTATTTGCCCAGTAATTTTTTTTTTTTTTTCCATTTATTCTTTAACAGGTATAATAAAATTACCTTGCTATTCATTTCATTTTTATCTAAAATGATATTTTGTAACAGTGATTGTGAGAAAGATCTTTCTTGATACCTAAAAGGGGCACAATTCAAGATGGATATGATTAATTTGGGACAAAATCTGGTATAAAAATATGTAATTGATTCAGTTAAAATTTAGTCCAAGGAAATAATATTGATTACCGGACTTAAATTTGGAAGGGAGAAATATTGAATGGTCAGTTCTTTCATGTTACTAGACATTTTTTATAATTTGGGAGTTGTTGATGCTGATGCTTGTATACATCTATTGTTGAACAATTCCATTGTACAGGTACAGTAGAAAAGAAACATTTTAAAATCAATAACAAATACAGGTGTGAAATGATAGAGAAATAACTTTAGTCCGTTCTTTTTACAATTTCAAATATTATGGTTTAAAGGTTAGTAAAAATCTGTCTCAATTTTCAATATACATTTCTGGATATTAAACTATATATAGGCTTTGAAAGATTGGAGGTTTTGAGGAGTGTGAACCACCTCTTAGTTGCATTTTCCTAGGTCAGTCTGTCCAACTATGGACAAATAATGAATCCCTAAACAAAAACAAAACACTATGAAAGTATTAAAATACATTTTTATAGTAAAAAATACCAACAATACATTTTTATATATATATAAAAAAATTACCAACAATACATTTCATCTATAATTGAAGGTACATAATTGCATTCAAAATATTTAGTTGAAGGCAATGCAACTGCATTCAAAATATTTAGTTGAAGGCATGTAATTGCATTTGAAATATTGAAGGCATGCAATTGCATTCGAAATATTGAAGGCATGCAATTGCATTCGAAATATTGAAGGCATGCAATTGCATTCAAAATATTGAAGGCATGCAATTGTGTTCAAAATATTTAGATTTTGTCATTAAATTCATCCATTTAGGTTGATACACCACTAAATAAAATCAACCAAAAGGAAAGAACTCTTTCATGACATTAATCTATATAATATCCTACAATTTCTTAAATCAAATTGTACCCCTAAATATAACTTCAGGAAAACTACAATATAAAATTGCCTCTGGTAATCATGTCCACACAAACATGTATCTGCACAAAAATTGAGTATCCTCTACAATGTATTCAATTGTGAAAGCAGAATAACATGTATCATATTTTTATTACTTCAAAACTCCCAAGAAAATTAAATTTCGGCATTAATGATGCATAATGAGTTGATATACTGTTAAACAACCTATACAAAAGTGAGCATTCTAAGGGAGATAAGTCTCATGCTGAGATAATGTAAGGGAAGTAACCTGGCAGATTTATCAACATCAGCGAGATAGAAGGCCTGTTCGATTAAACGTGACGTCATCACAAGTAGAATAAGGTGAAGTTGCTAAAAATGAACGATTACAGGCTTTGTTTAAGTATAGAATATTTTTTAAATTACAATTAAAAAAAAAAAAAATGAAACCATGTTTCGAATTTCACCTTGGAACTTTATTCAATATTTATAAAAATAAGGAAAAAACAAGCAAACAATGTTATTATAAAATAAAAACGTTTTATTCCGTAAAGTTACAATACTGACAATTGAAATTGACAGAATAATTTTTCATATTAGACAAAGAAAAGTAAACCAGGGTTCAATTTCTACCTTACATCTTTAAATAAATAAAGAATAAACAACAAATAGATTAAAAATCTGTTTTTAATGATTATTCCATAAAGTCTGACAGAATATTTTTATGTTACAATTACATTAGTAACAAAGAAACTGTTGGGATGTGCAGAGTTAATTAATTGTAATTGAGTGAATCAGAAGGAATTTGTGTAGGTTGCGTGACTTTCTGCATCCACAAACAAATAAATAAACGAATTTTAAATACAATCAAAAACAAGACATATTCAATTTAGAAACCAACCAAACATTTATATACAATTAAAAGTATATATATATATATATATATATATATATATATATATATAGGATATTTTGGTATGTTACTATGGCAAAGTGTGTGTGACATGTGAGGTTTCGGTATGTCCCTTTTTGTATTTGTATGTTCAGTTACAGTCTTTCTGGAGTGGTGTTAATTAACATTAAAAATGTCGATGTTAAGTGTTTTTAGGAATGAGTTCTTATAGAGTGGTCTACCTCTGACTGTAATATTTCTGAATCATTCGAATGTTGATTTTTACTTAATAATGTAGTGAGAATAGTTCACTTTGGATAAGCAAAGTTGTTTGCGATTTGATGTCCACAGAGTTGGTCAAGTTTAAATTGCAAGTGAGTCAGCGTTAATGTACTTTTGCGCAGTAAAGTTGTGATTTCGAGTGACGTGGAGTATGTTGGCAATTTCTCTGTGGATGTTCGACTCTGACTGTTTTGGTCAGTCGGTATTTTCTTTTATATGTTTTTGAAAGTCCAAAATCGGCTCAAAGAAGTTTTGGCGCAATTTTGTTTTGCACGTGAAACTTTCAGATTATTGTGTTGTGAACCAATGAGATTTGTTGATTCGCCTAGTACGTTTTTTTATTGGTCAAAGTTTTCCGTACGTAGGCATAAGGTATAGACTGTTCTTTTACTAGGGGTGATAGGTAGAAAAGGACGAATCTACAAAACCAAGCTTCGTTTTTTTTACCTTAAACTTTATTATCTAAAGGAAAATTATTTAAAGTTTTACATTTGTTGCTATGTTAAAGTAAATAGTGTATGTTTCATTATTGAATTTAAAAGCTGTAAAATTCCTTCTCTTTATTTTGATTCTGTAAAATTATTTGAAAACTATTTTCTTTACAATAAAAACATCAGCATGGTTTTAATTTGCTTGTTTTATCTTATTTTAAAATTTTCTGTAGTAGTAAAGTTACAGTATTGACATTTTTTGTGTAGAAAATAAGACAAATTTTAAATAATCGTAGAAAAAAATGTTACGTAAGTATATGGGAAATTTAACTGAACATTTGAAGTTTGCCTTTTTGGTTAACTTGTCTCTATTAATATTATTATTTTCTCTAGTACAAAAATTATTCCAAAAAACATTTGAAGAGCTCCAGACAAGCATTCTTTCTAATTTTTCAATCCCACCACAAGAGTCCACATGAAAAAGATGATCATTATCTGCCAAAACATTCAAGGTTATGTGCATGGCTAATTTTCTTTGATTTACTGAATGAAGATAAGAAGAATTTTTTGTCCATTTACCAATAACTATAGAATTATAGATATCAGCATTTGTAGTAGTATCATTGGGATATAGGTGAGAAGCTTTATTAATCTCCTGAATATAGATGTGTTTATTTCAGGTATTTTGTTCTCATTATCACTTCCACATATTAAATTCTTGCAATTGTTGCATTTCATTTTCTTAAAAATTGCATAACAGCAACAACCTGCTATGTATAATATAACAGCAACAACTCTGCATTCATTAATATCTTCATCTGTGAC